GACAGTGACTTTGAGATGGACGAATACAACGAGGACGAAGAAGACGACGACGCCGACGATAGTAGCAACACAGCTGCCAGGAAGAAGGATAACACTAAGGCCTGAAGCTAGGCCTTGTCATTTAGACCGCGCTCGAGGTGGTAGATGTATTGAGCGGGGCGTTACTCACATGACGTTTGGGTTTGCTTTTTGTTTTTGACTTCCAGCGAAGGACTTATGCATAGCGACGGTCCATGGCGTTGAGAGGTAGTTTTTTTGAGGCCCGTGGCTTGTGTCAGGACAGGGGCATCACCGACAGGATCTCATTATTGGATTCTGGTGGGCGGCCTGGGTTATTGGTGGCCCAGGCATCGTCGTGAATAGAGTACCGCAAATGGGTGCTTGTTAGAGCAGCCAATATATTCCTTCCAGCGTACCACTCAAGCAGTAGACTATCCTATTCATCATGCAAGATGAATGTAGCGTGGAGGCAGAAAGGGCACAACGAGGAATGCTTCAGCCTTGCGCCTAACGGCTTAACATGCCCAGACTATTGTACAAGACACTACTTTTCACGAGAGATGTGACAGAAATGACTGCTCGGCAACCCAGTCGCTACGCTGGTCAATGATGGCTGTACCCAAATCATCGGTGGGCCCCTACGTAATCGTTGGAGGCACAGGTGGTACAGCACACGGCCAGGCTGTCAAGGTGTCCCGGCGCTAGCGCATGTTAGCCATGCAGCTCCCGCCTCAACAGCGTCAACCGAGCCACAGCATTCAGCACTCAGAGCTTCACCTTCGTCTCCATCAGCCTTTTCCCTCCGACGACCCTCCGTTTGTCTCTTGCTCCGGCTGGCTCACGTCTATTCCGTGCACCGAATCCCTCTCGAGCCGACTCCTCTTGCATCCTCGACCCCCGATCGTTCGAATACCTTGGCGGTGCTGACCGTCACTTGGCGTGGATCCCCCAGCCAACCGCCGCCTGTCCTTGTCTCGACGATGCGTAGTACGACACACCTTGCCACCCCATAGGAAGCCCACTTGAGGGCACCATTACGACCGCGAATACAGAGGGAGGCGTGAAAATAAGTTCGCCGAGGAGCAATGGCGCAAGAACCTTCCGACGACGATGTCTCCAATCTCTGCGCCATCGCCGACATTAGCGAAGCGCAATATGGCAAGGTCGTGTTGAATGCGCTGCGGGTGCGTCTCAAACCTTGGCTTCGTCCGAAGAGTCTCCCGTTTCCTGACGCTTCGCACAGAATAGCAGCAACAATCAGAATCAGGTCATGATGGAGATCTTTGACGACTTGGAGGCCGTACGTAGACCGCCCTCATACTTTTGTTTGACCGTTTCGGGCGCTAAAGAGGTGATGCATAGTTTGTCAGGAAAAACACGTGGGATGAATCTGCGTTTGGCGCGAATCGAGAGGGCGAGACCAATAGCGCCGGTATTGGTTTGTACAGCCATGCCGCTGAACGGTTGGGCGAGGCACTGACGATGTGGCAGCTTTCAACGTCGACGCACCCGATAATGCTGTCATCCAGGGCGTCACGCCGCCCCCCGAATCGAGCTACTGGCCCGGCAGCGGAGCTCCCTCGCGACCTCCTTCGAGAACGAACAACAAGTCGCCGCTTGGTAGGATGATTGATTGGACTGTCGGGGATCCAACCGGTACTGGACCTCGTTCGTCGCGAGGACCCGTTGGGCTGACGAGTTGCAGGACCAAATAGCTCCGCTCAGGAGGATGAAGACCTACAGCGAGCCCTCGCCGAGTCGGCACGAGAGTCGGGTGTCGCACCGCAAGAAAACGGAATCATGGACGGCATCATCCCGACATCTACAGCACACTTTGGCCCAGCGAACCGCAACGACTATGATCCGAGCAACTGGGCCATGGTTCCTGCAGGCCCAGCTACGCGCGCCCGATCAGCGCTAGATCCTGTACCGTCGAAGAGGCAGAGAGCATCGGACGCTCCTGCGTTCTTAGTACAACAACCAAACGCGCGGAATGCAGGTCACCGTCTGGGTGCGATCTTGTCAATCTTTCACGAGATCCCGTTGTCTCGAAATGTCTTGTTGCAGACTGGACGCCCGGCGGAGAACTACGGTCACAACAAGGAGTGGTGGAAAGGTCAGGCTATCTACCCCGCTCATCTGGCGGCAGCGATGAACCAGGGCCAACCGGTGCCTGACGATGCCAAGCCAGACTTCAACGAGGAAATTCACCGTCTGATGGCTTTTCTCGATGCGACGGATCGCAGTTACGGGTCGGTTGAAGTCATGGCGGACCTTCTCGATGGAACCCATGCCGGGCGCGAGAGGCAATTCTTCGACGTTCTCAACGAAAGCAACGACCCGGATGTCCTCAAGCCTCTCATGCATGATGCACTGAGCATGCTCGTCAATACTTATGAAGTTGTCGAGAGCGTCGATAGATTCTCGTTCCTTGACTTTGAGCTTAGTGCACATCAGTGGTCGCAAGTCGAGAGCTTCTATGATGTGTGGGATTGCTTGGCTTGGGACGAGTCCATGACATGGCAAGAGATTAAAGACGACACAAAGATGACCGTCTTCAGAGAGATGGGCGAGATCATGACGGTTTTGCTAGATGGGGACTGTCCTGATACCATCGACATACCTGAAGTCTGGTACCCCGAGCGATACCTAGAGGCAAGGAAGAAGGATGCACGGGCGATTCAAGAGCAGCTGGCCTGGGCACTCGCAAGGCTTTACGATGCTACGGCGCTGGAGCACGAGTACAAGAACTGGGACGACCCGGTGACGCACAAGCAGCACGACAGGCGCGAGCTCCTGGTGCAGGCTGTTGAACAATATGAAGGCTTCGTCAAGTACCTCACTGGTCTGGTGGAGTTTGAGGATTTCGCACCTCCAAACGAGGAGGTTAGCAAATTGCTTCAGCTGGACACGCTACCGCCACTTGCAACAGATAAGGAGAAGGATATGTTGGCCCGATGCGAGCAGGTGCTCATACGCTGTAAGCACAAGCTCAGGGAGCTAGATGCCAACATGAGCAGTATGTGCACACCAAAACATGATTCGTTTACGTACTTGCTGACGTGATTACAGAACTGAATGCCGACCGCGATTACCTCAAACAATATCGACGGTATCTAAACACCCTCCTCACAGACCCTGAGCCGGAGGACGGTGAAGAGCCCATTACGTTTCACGGCAAGAAATATCTTCTTCGGGGTGTGGCCACTGGGCGAAACATCATGTACATTTGCCGCAGAACTGAGCCTCAGTTGATCGACCTTGAAGAGGCTGCACAGCCTCTGGATCAGTGGTGGCGGCTTGCATATGTGGCGGGTGATGAACAACCCGTTCAAGCGGAGGTAAATACTATATTGCATTGACATAGGGATCGAGTGCTAACACTTTCACAGAAGGTTGAGTTTAGTGTCGTGAAGGAGAAGATGTTGAAGGAGTCCAAAAACCCACTACTGGTCTATGCAACAGAAGACGCGCTGAACACGCCGCGAATTCCCCTCTCGGACGAGCTTCAACGGTTCGTGCTGGCGGAGAACAAGATTTTCCGTCAGGAACTGAGCCACGAAGCGGACCAAGACGACGATGAGGACGTGCCGTTGATCAACCCGAACATCTCACCTGTCTCGCCGTCCAAACGCAAGTACCGCGCAAACAGCGTCGACTCCATGGACACCAACCGAGCATCATTGGGCAACAGCGAAACGAACTCTAGAGCGGGGGACTTTGACGACATGGATGCTTTCGGTATGGTCAGCGGAGGCGTGGTCCGCCACGCAGCGAATACGACAAGTTCAGCAGCACAGTCAGGAAGATATTCAGATCTGGAAGGGCTTCGCAACCAGAGTCAAGACCAACTATCGGCGACGCTTTCTCCCGAGTCAACGCATTCAGCAGCCAGCCAAAACACAGCGCCTGCACTATTCAGCCGCTCATCCACCAGCCAAACCTTGCAGGAGACAGTAGACACAGGATCCATCGACCAGCCGATCGAACTGGAGGCGACGAACAACGAGATCAAGCTGCCCGAGATGCAGGAGCGCGGGGGCAATGGATCTCTCTTTGGCAGTAGACATGCATCAGCAAGTTCAGCATCTGGCCGCCGTGACGCCGCGGCAGAGGCCATGGACGTGGATGCGTCATTCTCTAGGCAGCTTGACTAGGCATTCAGCGAAAAGAGATCTGCCAGAGGGAGGGGTCGGTCAGGAAGCAGGCTAAGCCTGCGGAAGAAGATGAATGGATGGCTTGACCACCTTGTCGATGGCTACAGAAAGGGGTAGACTTGAAGCGGGGAGTTCGTTGCCGGGGTGGGTTCGGTCCAAACATGGCAAAGCGAAGGGGCGCCATTGTGTATCAAGTTCAGTAGTCACCCAGTCAGGAGAGAGCATGTTCCTCAGGAACACAACAACATGAAGCTATGAGAATCATTCAAAGTGAGTATGATGGAAGGGGGGTTGAACTCTCGTGATGTTGCCAGATGGAGTGTGCAGTATGTCGAAGGTTCCAGAAGGTTCCATGCCCGCAAGCGGTGGGCGGTGATGTCACATTTGGGCCCCGGTTGTGAGACCTTGACCTCACAGCTCGTGCGAGTGGGCTGTAGGAGCATTGACAGGAACGTGTTGGAATCCTGAAATGACTTGTTCAACATCACGCGACTTCTTCTTTCTGCATTATATCTTTTGTTCACCGATCTTTGCAGTCCTCAACTCGCCGTAGGTTGTTTGGACAATTGACATCGAAAACATATACAATCAAGACGACCAAGTCTACCTTGCACCACCATCACAGCAAGTAACTGGACGCAGACGCTAAGCCCCACCAATTGGGCAGCTGCTCTACAACCCAAAGCAACGAGGCACACATTCGCCTGACTTTTGACAACCCGACACACCATAATTCTCATACCTCAGCCTGGTGGTAACCTTCACTGTCTCCTTCTGTGTCTTCTCCTTCCATCTTTGCTGTTGCTCGGCAGCACAGTAGAAGCAGGATCAGCTCGGCACACCGACAAGGCCCGCCCCGCATCAATACCACCACCCATCCACCATTGCCAGTAAGCCTTGAGAGGCACACACCGACGCGATGGTAAAAGAGACGAAGCTCTACGACCAGCTGGGCGTCAAGCCCGAGGCTACACAGGAAGAAATCAAAAAGGGCTACCGGTAGGTTCTTCCTCTCTCGTAAATCGTTGAATCTGCATCATTTCCAAGATAGACGAGCTAACAACCCCGCTACAGCAAGGCAGCTCTCAGGTGGCACCCCGACAAGAACAAGGACAACCCCAACGCCAGCGAAAAGTTCAAGGAGTGCTCCCAGGCCTACGAGATCCTCTCCGACCCCGAGAAGCGCAAGATCTATGACCAGTACGGGCTCGAGTTCCTCCTCCACGGCGCCCCGCCCCCGGACGCCAGCGGCGGGGCCGGCAACGCCAACCCCTTTGCCGCTGGCGGCATGCCTGGTGGTTTCAACTTTGGCAACGCCGGCGGCGGCGGCAACACGCGCTCGTTCCGCTTCAGCACCGGTGGCGGTGGCGGTGGCGCGCCGGGCTTCAACTTTAGCAGCGCCGAAGATATTTTCGCCGAGTTCATGCGGCAGAGCGGTGGCGGCGGCGGCGGCGGCGTAGGCGGCGGAGAGGACATTTTCTCCACGTTTGGCGCGGCACGCGGCGGCCGATCGCGGGTGCGGCACTCGTCGGGCGGCTTCGATGACTTCTCGCCGCCTAAGAGGCGGGAGGCCACGCCCGAGGTGACGACGGTTGAGAGGGCGCTGCCGCTGACCCTGGAGGAGCTCTTCAAGGGTGTGACGAAGAAGATGAAGATCAAGCGCAAGCTGTTTGACGAGAGCGGAAAGAGGACGACGACGGACACGGTGCTCGAGGTGCCGATCAAGGCCGGTCTGAAGAAGGGTAGCAAGATCAAGTTCAAGGGGGTCGGTGATCAGGAGGAGGGAGGCCAGCAAGATCTGCACTTCATCCTGGAAGAGGTACGTTTTATTGATCCCCCTTGTGAAAACATTCGCATGAATGCAAAAGCTAACGGTGACTCGCAGAAACAACACCCTCTGTTCGTCCGTGAGGGCGATGACCTCGTGCACACGGTTGATCTCGACCTCAAGGAGGCTCTGACGGGATGGAAGCGAACCGTTGCCACGATTGACGGCAAGCAGATCAACCTTGACAAGGCCGGCCCGACGCAGCCCGGCAGCTCAGAGCGGTATCCCGGACTGGGCATGCCCGTGTCGAAAAAGCCGGGCACGCGGGGCGACTTTGTCATCAAGTACAACGTCAAGTTCCCGTCGAGTCTTACAGCGGCGCAGAAGCAGAAGCTTAGGGAAGTTCTCTAAGCGAGCGAGTGAGTGGCTTAGGAGATGAGGATCATGGACTGGCTTTTTTTTCATGAATTCTTTTTTTTATTACGAATCGGTGTTTTGGGCGTATCAAGGGGTTTCAGTGACTGAGGAGCTTAGGAGATGAGCCCCAGGGGTTTTTGTTAATAATGAACACAACGTTTACACTTTACAAGAGATACCAAGACTGAGATTACTATTCGACAAAATCATGATTATGCCTCAGATCAAGCCCGTGCTGGTTAAATGTGACGTGAGATCTTATTGGAGATGTGCCGTACCAATGTCAACGCGGCTACGGCAAGGACCCGTGAGTCCCCGCACCCGAGATGAGTGACAAACAAACACGGCATGCCCTGTCCAGTGCGGCCTTTTACGTGAGGGTGCATAGCTACGGGCGGCTGCGTGCAAGGGGGACGACATGGAGGGCGAGGCAAGACGCAAAACATCAGACGTTGCGCCGCAGGAAATCTCGGCGGGGACTGGTCTTGTTTCGGGTGCGGGGCGTTGAGGCCGCGGGCTGGGCGCTGGGCGGATTCTGCTGCAGCGCAACACAGTCACGATGTACGGTGCCGGAAGCGCTCGTCTGCATTAGGTTTCGAGGTGTGAAGAGGGCCGAATGCTGCATGCGCTTCCATGAACATCCCGAGACTCGGCATCGACTTCCAGGGTCTGTCTGTTGACAGGCAGCACAAGGATACGGTTTGGCCCCCCGTCGCGACACGGGCCACGACGGCGACGACGAGGCTGCACTTGACTGCGCAACGGCTCGTGAAATGGCGGCCGGGAGAGAGAGGCCAAGGATGCCTCTTGCCCCGGGCGACAATTACACAAAAAAAGACGCGTCGTTGTCGTCGGATGGAGGGGCACACTGGCCCATGACGACATTGTACAGGGATGGGCGCACCGTATTGGGCGCAACAGCGGGGTAATCATGAGGTGCACCTCCTCCGTGCCCCTCCTTTTTCCTCGTTGCTTGCCAATTTGAGTACCTTACCTCAGCTGCTCAGGTACCTCTGCCGGCTCGCTGTGACGGGGCAGTCTCTTCAGTGGACACACGGCGGCTTGTTGGGGCTACAATGAGGGGTTAATTCGCGTCTCTTCAGTGGCAGGATTGCACCCGCCTCGGGAGCAACAGGCAGCCAGGGCGCTCAGGGCGTCCCGGGCAACCACCATCGGTGATGGGGCTGACAGGGCAGCAGCAACCGTGACGGGTCGAGATCCCGCCTTGGTCTTGGTGCTCATGTCGCTTTCGATCTGCATCTGGTGCTCTCAATGCTCGGCTCTGGCTTGTTGGTCTAGGTACTCGAGGCGTTACTTGGGCTGACCACCATTCTAGTCTACCTTTTCCTTGATCCATCCCATTTCTGCTCTTAACCCGAACGTTGTCCACTTTTCAAGCCTCCCCTTGTTCTGCTGTTGGCTCGTCCTTCATTCTCCCTTCACTTGCTAGCCATTTCCACTGTCTGTTCACCCTGATAAGCGTTCATCAGTCTTTCTAGACTCGATTGTAGCTCGTAGACCTTAGCCAAACACCCAATCCGACCTCCATCCACCGCCATCATGTCTCAGGTATGTCAATTCGCCGTCTCCATCCCACCTCAGACATAGTGTCCTCCTGACACCAATGCCCAGATCACGACTCTCCTGTTCGACTGCGACAACACGCTCGTCCTCTCTGAGGAGCTCGCCTTTGAGGCCTGCGCAGAGCTCATCAACGAGATCTGCGAGAAGCACAATATTGACCAGCGCTTCACCGGCGAGTCCTTGATCAAGGAGTTCGTCGGCCAGAACTTCCGCGGCATGATGCTCGGTCTCCAGAAGCTCTACAACTTCACCATGGAGCAGGAGGAGCTCGAGACATATGTCCGCCGCGAAGAGGATGCTGTCATCGCCAAGCTCAAGGCCTCTCTCGTCGCCTGCCCTGGCGTTGACGAGCAGCTCGAGGCCCTCCAGGCCGGCGGCAAGTACAAGCTCTCCGTTGTCTCCTCCTCTGCCAAGCGCCGTGTCTGGGCCTCCGTCGTCAAGGTCGGCCAGGACAAGTTCTTCAAGGAGGAAGAGGTCTACTCTGCCGCCACGTCGCTCCCCACACCCACCTCCAAGCCCGACCCTGCCATCTACCTGCACGCCCTTGAGAAGCTCGGCAAGACGGCCGCTGAGTCGGTCGCTATTGAGGACTCCAAGAGCGGCACCCTCAGCGGCACCCGCGCCGGCATCAAGGTCATCGGTTACGTCGGTCCTTATCCCGCCGACAGGCAGCCCGAGATGGAGAAGGTCCTGCGCGACGCTGGCGCCGTCGTCATCATGAAGGACTGGCAAGAGTTCCCCGATATCCTGGCCAAGCTGTAAGAGTCTGACGGGGGTATGTCGGGGAGTGCGGAATGCCCCGTCGTCTTAATGAACACGGCGACGAGGTGTGTGTAATGGTCAACAGCGAGACAGGGTGCATTCAACAGCCGGCATGGGCCACGAACAAGAAGATGATGGATAGAATGCAGCTTCATCTCCTATAGTCCATCAAGAAACTGTTAACACTCTGCAGCGATGCCCGGCCCGGGTTGGCCTCGGGACATGCCGTCATGATGCTTCCTAGTCGATGCCGAACCATGTCCTTGTTGAAAATGGTCTTGGTGTCAGGTGCTCGGTAGTTGTCTTGTTGGTCAAAGCACCAGAGGCAGATGGCGAGGGCCACGGCCACGGATAAGTCCTTGCCCGTCTCGCACGCCACCAAGACGGTCGTACCCTCGGCGAGGGAGCCGTCGTCTTTCTTTTGTGACTCGAGAAACCGCGTAACGAAGCCGCAAATGTCAGGCAACGCCGCCCTCAGGTTCCGACTCGCAACCTTGTGCTTCCCCACCCCAACCTCCATCTCCGTTGGCGCCTTGACGATCCACGTCTGCTTCTCCGTAACCGCCGGTATCAACTTGACGGTACACCTCCGATCTTCCCCGTCCTCCACCCCCGCAAGAGCACAAACCGCCACTGAAGGCGCGACCTTCTTGGCCCCGGCGCCCCGGCTCGGCTCGCACGCATCGACCAAGCCCCGCACGAGCGCGGGCAGCTCGCCCTCGGGCGTGTCGAGCAATTGGTCTGCGTGGGCCCAGAACAGCTCGGCCGTGAGCCCGCAGGCCCAGTTCTCCGTGTCGTCGCCCGCGCCCTGGACGTACACGTACCCGCCCTCCCTGAGCTCGCCGCCCGCGACGCGGCGCGAGGCCGTGCAGCAGATGACAGGGTGGGCATCCTCGAAGACGGTGCTGCGCGGGGCCGCTGGCGTTGTGGTCGTCTGGGGGCGGAGGAGCGGCGTGTCGGGCGTGATCCAGAAGGGCCGCAGGGGTTTCGTGAGCTGCGCGCGCAGCGGGGCCAGGTCGAGATCGAGGGCCAGGAAGGCGGCGAGGAAGGATGGCAGGAGGGCGGCGATCTGGGCGTGCTCCGAGGGGGAGACTACGTTGGGTGGCGTGTGCAGGGCGTGGGCTTCTTCAGGCAGGGAGGGGAAGAGGGCGCGGTTGAGGACGGCGCACCAGATTGGGATTGTCTTTGAGAGGGCGTCGGGAATTCCTGGCTTTTTCGTCAGAGGGAAACTGAGGAGCCTGGGTCAAGAAGAGACTCACGTTTTCCGCGGCGGGTGGAGTCGACGATGATGCACCTTGGGGCTGGTCAGCCGGAGAATAGATGAGGGCTGGTGATCGAGGGGTCTCACCCGTCGCAACGGCCGATTATTTCGAGAAGATGAAGGTTCAGCCTCCTCGTGCTGAACTTCCAGGCATTGTCGTGGCCGTCTGTGCTTTTGAAGTATGCGCTCGCCGACTTGGTGCTGGGCGGGATGTACCAGCTTCCGCAGCGCTCGTTGGCGACGAGGGGCCGTGACAGTGTTACCGTTCCAGTGGCTTCAGTAGGACCTTCTTCGACTGAGCCGAAAGCGGCCGCTCCCTCGCGCACAAAGTCGGCATCGTGGATGATGGACCGTAGACGATTTGAAATGGAGAGGTCGCCACGCTTGAGTTCGGTGAGGAAATGTGAAAAGTTGGGCTGCTCAGACGCAGAGGGAAATACAATGTCGGAGAGGCTTGTCATTATTTGGAGTTTTCGGTTTTGTAATCATATGAGCGCGGAGTAACTTGCTCACACAAGTGTATTCACGGTTCTTAATATGGTGTTCTTTGAGCAGAATTGGTGAAGTGCATTTTCGTACTGTGCGTAAGGTGTCTTCTTTGCTTTCGACACTGTCTTAGCCCCTATCCATCTGCCGTCACGCCCTTGCCAGTAGACGATTGCAACCCAAGACGTCCTCTGTTTGAACGTCATTCTTCAGTGGTGGAAATTACAACTTCTCTCGGTCAAACATAGCCTCCCTAGTCGCAGCACAACTTCAAACCCGCGTCAGTCTCTCATGAGGAATCACCCAATCCAGGGGTCGAGCTGCTAGGCGAGGTCAGCACGATTGAATACTTGCCAAGAGAAGTTACTCACGCAATGAACCTGTTGGTAAATATATACGATTCACCAGTTGAAGCCAAACAACCAGGCTGTGCGCCTGTCTGAGACGTGATCCTTGAACATGGAATCAGGTTCGTCCTCGAAGATAATGAGTCTCGTTCCTTTCTGGTGGCCACTGATCCCACAGACTTCAAGCTCTGCAGAACTTTCAACTTCGTCCTTCACATCTTGTTCCTTGTGTTCCTCACGCTCAAGGTTCGTATCTTGCACTGGTAGCTGTACCACGAGCTCACCAGCACGATCTGGTGTCGCATATGACTTGACAGCATTGGATGGATCATCCTTTCCCGGCTGCAATTGGTAGCCAAGAACTAAGCCTTTTGGTCTTCGCTGCTCATCATCTGGCTGACATTGAATGTGCCTCGTCTGAGCGCTTACATCAAGGCCTCGCATGCTGGCGAGCTCCGTTTCCGAGCTCCGTTCTGGATCGGTTGGCTTTGTCATTCTGGCGGCCTTCCTGGCGCGTCGTTTCTCCTTCTTTCGGGACTTCTGCTCACGAATGAGGTCGGAAGCCTTCTTTCCAGCTTCCGGCAGTACGCGATATACATTATCGACAGCGAGAGAGAATGTATCCCCGATCTTGGTGTCATCGGCCTCCATGTCATGTATGGAAGGCATGGTCTCTGTCATCGAGGTCGTACTTTCATCTTCGGAAGGTGTGTTCTCAGCTAGGGAAATCGTATCCTCATCCACGAAAGCTGCCATCTCGGTCTCTGATGGGCCGGGCACATCGGGCACGGAAGCAAGAGCATCTAGAGCAGACTTCGCAATGCCGTCCAAAAAAGTCGTAATATCTTTTATCACGGCGACCGGGCTAATGCCAGGCCTTGCCGTATGTTCAATGCTGTTGTTGATATTCTTTGACGAGTCTTCGGAAAAGGCTTTCAACCGAGCCTCCCTCTTTTTCTGTCTATACGCAGTAGAAAGACGGCCCATGATTGCGTGTTGGCTGATGGAAATGATGGCGGATAGTCTGGAGAAACAATTGCGAAGAAGAACCCTGGAGACCAGTTGCCGTGGTTCAATTTCAGTAGCTCTCTTGAAAAGGGAGGACGTTGCCGAAGCAGAGTCTTAGTGAATGATGACGAGTAGTGTTTGCACCTTCCTTCCGTATTCTGGACAGTGTAACAACATCTCCAAAACCAAATTACTCTCATGCTGCATAAAAAATGGCATAAGGCTCACCTGCCCCCCAACCCTGCGTCAGGGTTGGTGGACAGGCTGCACAACTCCACGAGGCCCGAGTTGTGACAGAGCTTTGGGGGCTTCAGGATTCGAACGTGCGGTCTTTGGGGGTTGCTTCGTTCTTTAACCACTGGGCTAGTGGTTTGTTGGGAGGAATCCGCGTTTGTTTGTATATATTGGAAGGAGTGGAATTGTTTGGCTGTTGCCTGATGGTAACTGCTTGTAGGGCGCGCAGGACCGCGAGGCGATGAGCCTCACCTGTTTTCTCCATGTGAACCATGACAGTTGCTACTAGAACTTCTACCACGTTCTTGAGTAGAAGGTACTCGCTTGGGTCACTGGATATCAACTATTGTTGCTAAGATGCAGCCAAACAATGGCTTTTTCTTCATGGAGGGCAACCCCCAACCGCCGGCCTACCTTTGTCAACGGAGGGGCTAAACATATAGTACCTTATGTTAAGAATCCGTATAGATTATGCTAGTTATTTAATGTATTGAACTTAGCTGATATGCTTGTCTGCCACGGTAATTTGGAAAAGTTACTCGAAGGAAGTGGTCCGAGTGACATCTTGGAGCATGCTCTCCAAGCAAACATATCAGAATGCTCGTACAACACAGCGGCTTGGGCATCTAGGAGTGTAATCAAAATGTCTAGCGAGCAACCGCACGTTCTCGTGGATTATTCGATGACCGGCGAAATCACATGAGTGTTGATTTGGATGTAAATGAAGTAACATGCGAGGAAGAGGCTGGCGATAAGGGAAATACGGTTGAAAGCGGTGCATTGATTGGGATCCCCACACTCGATCTCTGTCGACTTACGGGGTGACCACCGCTTCTCGTTTGATTTTTAATCAGTTGTTTGATTTGATCAAAACAGATGATCAGATTCTACCATTGCCAGGCAGGAAGCCTGTCACTGAGACGGGCCCGTCAGCCGGGGCATCCGTGTGCCTGACGACGGGGCGGTGTTGTCCCAGGTGAGGCAGAGCGAGGCTCTTATCTCCTCGGGGTGGCACAGCAACGGCGATGAAGGTGAGTGGAGGCACTGTACGAGTACCGCAACATGACGTCGTGACAAGCGCTTGGCACCTGCAGCCACAGCTCGTACCGGGGCAAACCGAGCCCTCGCGCCCACTCTCGAAGCCGAGACAGGCCCGCCATTCGTTGCCTGGGGCACAGGGACACATACTCACAGTGGCGCAGCATTACTGGCCTCTGGGACCACCTGGGCGCCTTTTCGCTCTGTCACGGGCCACTAGAGAGCTTTGCGACGCCAGCAGCTGCGTCAGGTTCAGAGGCGGAGCTTGGCCGCACGTCAGCCCCTAAGGTACACAGCTTTGGCCCTCCCAAGCCCCTCTACCCGTGTCCACATCACAGCCAGCACGGGAGGTGAGGTACCTGGGGACGCGTCTTCAGCACTGACGCAGGCACTGGTACAAGCTCTGACACCGACGGCGGGCTAGAGCTACAGTGCTGGGAGAGACAGCCCTGGAGCCGGTGCTTCCATTTCCACCCTGTCACATCCATCCCATCCGACAGACAGCCCAACGCAACTTTCTTTCCCCTTTCTCGTCCGTTCCACTTCCAACACTTGGACGACGTTCGCTTCGCCTGTGATCACCTTACGATACGACCTGAACTCGATCATTTTTTGACGAGCATACCGCACGCCCAAGAGCCTAGCCTGGCTGACCATCCCGCGCGCCGTTTACAACTGCTGCTGCCAACATTAACTACCTAGACGGAACAGCCGCATCGAAGCATAACCGCCTATTTTTAGATCGACACCAGCGACATCGCAGAACCTTTGCGTCTGGAAAGGGTAAACAGAGCCCTACAACATCGCAAAGTCGACCCCGGAACCCCAATACACCAACCCGCCCATCGACGCCCTCTCCAGACGCCCTCGAGGCCCTTCCTCGTCGCAAAGATGTTTGCCAATTTCGAGTGGGACCCTGAAAATGTCCCCATGCTGAAGATGGGCATACACTGCCTTCAGATTCTCCTAGCTTTTGTGCTCTGGTGTCTAGAGATTGCCGTCTTCGTTGGCGACAAGGCAGAAGTGACTGGAAACAACGGCTGGACGTTCGGAGTGGTAAGCTACCAGCTCTTGTTTGCTCCCGTTTCTGGGATCGCTACGCCGGAACCATGCTGACCTGGCTACCTGCAGTGCTTCCTTTCCATCCCAGCATGGCTCTACCTCATCATGACCCCGCGATGGCCGAGGACACGGAAACTTGCCGAGCCGCACGCTATGCTCGCCGTCGATGCTATCTTCACCATCATCTGGCTCTCCGCCTTTGCCAGCCAGGCTGCCTACAACACCGCCAACAAGTGTGGCAACGTTTGCGGGCTGAGCAAGGGCATTGTCGGACTCGGTGTTATCATCACGTAAGGATAATGATTCGACCTTGGAGAATTATGTGCTAAGACCTTTGTAGCCTTCTGTTCGGTGCCTCCACCGCCGTCAGCGTCTACACCCTCCGTCACTACCGCTTCCATGGCGAGCTTCCCGGCTACGACAAGCAGCGTATCAAGAACGACAACATTGACCCTGATAAGGCTGCCTTCTCCATGGCACCCCATGACGAAGAAGCCTACGCTCCTGTCCAGATGGACGACCACCCTGATCACCACACCGACACGGGCTACGGTGGCGGCGGCGGTTTCAACGATAACCCTTACAGGCCTGGAGGCGGCTCTGCGTACGGAGAGGATGACGATCCCAACCGATACGGCAGCTTGCCCTCCCGTCACAATGGCCCCATGTTCGACAGCGAGACGGAATACAACTCACACCAGACGTCTACGGTTGGGGGCCGCCAGTCAAGTCCCAATCCCTACGGTGGACCGCGGCAGCCCAGCCCCTATGCACCTCCAACAGCGCACGACGACTATGACGACAATGCGCCTGCGCAGTTCCCCTCGGCTAACTACAACCGCACATTGCGCTAAGGAATGTACATCGATACCAGGACTGCCACAAAGAAAATGGCAGAGGGCGCACAAGACAGCTCCCAGCATGATACATATGTTTGTAGTGGCTTGTTTCGGTTTCCACGGGTGTTGGCGGCGTCAACTTTATACTACATGACGTAGTCCAAGGATCCCACATGGCGAGCTTTCAAATCGGTATTGATAGATAGATGGATGGATATGGATGGATGACATTTTTTTTTTTTGATCAATTTTGCGAGCAAGTCTTATTGTTTTGACCCGAGTATCAAACCCATAACGCCAGACTCCCATGTATGCCCAATGTGTAACAATGCAATATGCGCTTCGCCTCACATCGTAACTGGCATGAATCCCATCGTGCCTACTCCTTACTGCTGCGACTGCTTCCACTTGTTCACCCTCCGCGCAATATCCCTCTCCGTCTGCTGCATCTGGTTCAGCTTGCGGTCCCTCGCCATGGCAGCCGTGTTGTCTCCGTGCTTGGCGACGAGCCTCTCGATCCACTCGACCTCCTGCTCGCTCTGATGCCTCGGCCTCTTCTCGACCTCGCGGCTCGCCTCCTCCTCGAGCATGCGGATCACCTTCGGCCTGCTCTCCTCGTCCCTCTCCTCGATGCCGCCCCACTCGCCGCCGTTCGCGTCCTCGTCGTCCTCCGAGTCCGTCTCGAGAGCGACGAGCGGGTCGTTGAGCGGGTTTGCGCGCGGCTTTCTCCCCGCGTCGGCGTAGTGGATCTTGATAATCTTGCCGTCGGCGTCGCGCTCGACCCGCGCCTCGCCAATCGTGGGCTTGTTCACGGCCGGCGCAATGGCGAACGGGTCAATGGGGATCGGCTGGCGGGTGCCCGACGCCGCGGCGCGGACCGACTTTTCGACACCGCCCGTCGGGGCCTTGAGGCGGGCCGTCAGGCCGAGGCGGCGGTAGTTTTGCGTCAGTGTCTCCTTCTTGTTCCTGGACGTGGGGAGTGGGCGGTCAGCGGTTTTCGCCTCGCGGTACGGGTCTTCTTTGCTCATCTTGTTTTGAGAAGGAGGAGAGTGAGGGCATGGCGCGGCCTACCAGTTCTGGGCGACGATGCTGTTGCCGCGGGGGTTGAGGGCCTTCTTGGGCTTGTTGGACTGGCGGATCGTAGACTTGGAGGAGCGGCGCTTCTTATTCTGGCGCTGGGAACCCATTGTGACGGTTTTTGGATTAAGGAGCGGTTACCGGGGTAAAGGGATTGAAGCAGCAGGTTCGCTTGGTGATGTCTTTGGCCGATGCGGTGCTGGGACCTCGATCTTTTGCATCCCGCGGACGGCCCTTAGAAATTTTGAGCCTTATCTTATCTTACACTTTTTGCTCCGCTGAGCGAGGTACACCGATCCACACCGAGGCTAGAGTCGAGGCTCAGAGATCTTGGAGTGGGCTTGCAAGAGGCCGACAAACCGAATACTGAATACTGTCAAGTGTAGGTATGAGTGAAAGGGTCTCCTTAAGGAAATTCCATGTATTCTGGGAGTTATACCTTCGGATTGCTTCCAATATTCGGGTCGTGAATTAGTCCAAAGCTACATAATGCGACTGAAATCTTCCGCTCCCAACAACAAGTAACCTGCCTGCCCGGCTAGCTCAATCGGTAGAGCGTGAGACTCTTAATCTCAAGGTTGGGGGTTCGAGCCCCCCGTTGGGCTCAATTCCTGACGCATCTCGCATGAGACTTCATTTTTGACGTTTTCGTCGACCTCGTGTCGGATTGAAGTCAACGTGTGTTTTTACGTATTTCCCCTTACCACAACGCTGATCCTTCGTGTCCAATGCTAGACTGCGAAACGACGCCATCCTGAATTCTCTGTCACGCTGGAATCAGTTGATGTGGAAATACATAACGATCAATTTTATCATCTCATTCATACATCGTCTACAAAGGGTATGTCTACACCAGCTTCCAGAAACCGTTCTCCTCCTCAATCTTAATGTCACGGCCCTCGTCAATGCTGCGACGGCCGGCCTCGAGGATGGCCGTCGTGGCGATTGTGTTCCTCAGCGTCGGCAGGCCCTTCTTGTTGAGGTCCTCGGGCTTCAGGGCGCCGCTGTTGACCTGACGACAGCCGTCGACGAACTTTTCAATGGAGATGTAGCCGTAGCCCGTCTGGCCGTTGAAATTGCCGTCCTCGTCGGGGGCGTAGCGCATGTAGAAGGGGTTGTACCACATGAGCTGGCCGAGCGAGTCGTCGGCGACGTCGTAGCCGCGCTTGGCCTGGTCGATGCGGATCTCGCCGTTCTGGGCGAGGTAGTGGAAGTACTGGTTCGAGTGGACGCCGGCGCGCTGGGGCGCCGTCCAGGAGGCCGTGTAGACACCCGTCGCGCGCTTCGAGGGGTCGTCCTTGCGGGCCCACTGCACGATCAGCGAGATGGTGTCCTCGGTGGCGGGGTCGCAGCCGAGGTCGGTGGCCACGCCCTTGGAGGCCGAGGCCGAGACCTTGACGGGCAGGTAGCCCTGCTGGGTGACCATGGAGTCGCAAATGTCAATGTGGTGCGAGTGAGGTAAGTAGGGAGATGTCCGAATCGACACCGGCCCAGGTCTTGTAGGTCTTCGAGCTGCGACTTTGGCTGGGACATGTACGAGTAGAAGTAGTTGAAGTCGCCGAGGCTCTGGGCCTTGTGGCGGGCGTCCGAGTAGGCGGGGTCGAAGCGCTTGTGGTGCTCGACAAAGACGTAGACGCCCTTCTCCTCGGCGGCCTTGATGAGCTGCTGGTGGTGCTCGAGGAGCTTGACGGCGGGTTTTGTGACGAGGACGTGGATGCCGCGCTCAATGGCGTAGAGGGCGATGGGGAAGTGGGTGGTGTCGGGCGTGAAGATGGTGATGGCGTCACCGGGCTTCAGCGCGTCAATGGCCACCTTGTAGGACTCGGCGTCCTTGACGTCGTTGGCGGGGTACGAGTCGAACGAGATGTCGAGGTTGTTGTAGACCTTGGAGATGTTCTTGTCGAGGTGCTCGCGAATGGCGGGGAACTTGGTGCCGTTGGTGCCGGCCATCGACAAGTTGTTGACCTTGCCGCGCCGCCTCAGGTCGAACAGGGACAGACCGATGACACCAACCTTCTTGTCGGAGCCAGAGGCGCCACCGCCAACGAAGCCGGTGGTGTACTCGCCGGTACCGATCTGCGGAGGTTAGTCAAAGGTCGCCGAAGGACGGCGTTCTGCTCTCGAGCTACTCACCATCAACACGTTGAGTGGCTCGCCCATTGTGACGGTGTGGCTGGGGTTTTTGTTTCTAGGAGGAGGGGAGTCAGGGGACGGACGATGGAATGGGATGACAGATGAGGAGGAAGATGGAGCTTGAGGAGAGAGGAGATGGCGCGAGGCTGTCTTTTAAACGGCTCGAGGTGGCTCAGGAGAACAGCGGGCAGCTTCGGGAGATCGATCCGATAGCAAGAGGCACAAGTTCTTGGGAGGAATGGCTTGCGGCACGATCAGCAAGCTAGGATATCGTCAAGCTCACTTGAGGCTGCGACTTTGCGCGGGACGCCTGTAACGGTCAGGGTCAAACGATGGAGCACCGTAACATGGCGGAAGAATTGAGGGGCAAGAAGAGGGGAAGCAATTGGAGGGATAAAGGCGCCCCGCGCTCCGTCACCGGGCAGTCGGCGCGAGGCCACGATGGAGAGGCTGCCAGCCAGCAGCAGCAAGCAACCAGCCAGCCCTAGGCGCAATCATCCTGGTATACAAATGCGTTGGAGCCAGGGGAGCACGCGCGGCCGTGACAACCGAGACTGGACGGCAAGCCACGGAGATGGGGTACAGGCGTGGAGCTGTTGCTTGGGGCTGTCCCTGCGATTGCTATCGCTCTGAGCTGTCAACCACAGCATATACCCATCAGTATCCATCAGGTCTCTACATGTCTCACATGTTGCCAGCGTTCGTTTCCTGATGGTTGACAGAAGTCCAGAGATCCTGATGATGCGCCCAGAAGCCACTCCAGGCGGATACGGCGCAAAAAAAAAGGCGAACCCAGGCTCGACAATGCAAAGCCCCCCAACAAGGCACCTCCCCGCCCCCACGTATGATTTCCCCGCGTGGCCGGGACATGGATAGTAAGGGTACATCCAGGGATGATGGAGGGGTTCCAAGTGGGGTCGGGGTGGGAAGAACGCAGATGCTGAAAGGGTCGAGACCATTCGTGGTCCGAGTATTCTTCGCCTGGCAGAATGCAATGTTCTTTCGACAGGTCGAGTCTCTCCAGTTGAGGGAGAACAAAAAAATGAATCTCGACTCCGTGCAAGACCTCGAGGAACCCCGACACCTTGTCACCACAGCCACTGCACAGGCTAAAGTCGGATGGGAATTCGAGATGGTGATGCAGGTAATCTCAGGATATTGCAGGTTGATGCCACTACCTAGGCAAACACCCTGGAAGTTCAAGCAAATGAAAGGCGCTGGAGGGGCACAGAGGGGGGTCTCAAGCAGTTTTGCACCCTGTGCACCCCCTTGTACAGCCATTGACAATAGGATGTGTGGCTTGACCGTGACTGGCTGCTGGGAAAGTCTCGTCTCACTCGCCTCATTGTCACGCAATTGATTGGTGGATAATCTAGCTCTTGGTTTCTCCGCTGCCATTGCCGGTGGTCTCCTGCTTGCCATCCTCTCCGTCTTCAACCAACTGTTTCTGGCAACAACTCAGTGCATCACGAAATCGCTACTGCGTATTTGACACCCTCACAGCATCGTTCAACCCGGAAATCTTTCGTACGTCTGCATCATGTCCTTTGCGATCACCATGCCCGGCTGGCCAGCCATCAACCAATCCGTTCCCTGGAGCCATGGCTAGCGCGAGTCGCGAGCAGGTTGTTGTCTCGACGATATGCACGAACTGCTGCGGTTTGAGTCCCGAAGCTGTCAACTGCATCAAGTCAAACGCCGTTGTTGATCATCAACGTTCTTGCAGCTGGGGCTCTCACCCATCGTATGGTGTCGATCCAAAGGGGTTCCGAACAACGGACACACGCCTTCTGGTCCGCCAGACGCCGGGTTTCGGCATGGACCAAATGCCCCCACCACTCCGACGCGGTCTTCTCTCCATCACGATGGTCTCGCTCGGCTCGCTGTATCTGCTTTGTCCCTCTGGAATTTCGAACGAGTGAGACCCGACGTGGCTCGCTGGCCATGGGCCAAACGCCTAGCCTACCCACTACCCCTCTCCCCCTCCCCCTCCAACGAACGGTACTGGCTCATCTGCACCCCTCCGCCTTTTCTGTCCCAATTCTTCACTCCCCTCCCTGATCGGTGCGGCTACATACCCACGTACCGTCCATTGGGTGCTTGCTCGTACCAACTATTTCCTCTTACGTTTGCCTGCGTCTTCAGCCCCTTTGATTCCCACCATTGAAAACAACCCCCTGATCTCTCGTCCATGCCCCGTGCCTCAGATGACGGCGCCCTAAAAATGGCAAAAGGCCTAGTGGCCAGTTTTCTCCTTGGATAGCCATGTCCTGCGAGAGGCAAGATGAAAAAGAGGAGGGGGTGTTCTTCGCAAAATGCCGCTAGCGACGTGGGCTCGGCTGTGACGTTTCTTCATGCTTCGTCGCTGAAGGACAATGGAGGGGGTTGCTCATCACTGGAAATCTGGGCACACTGACTGTACTGGGCCAAAACTTGGGGGGTGGAGGGGGTTGGATCGCTAGCTTGGCCGGTCTGGGGTCCGAGGAACACCACGACGCTCTGATCTCCTTGTCTTCGGACCAATGTCCACACGAGCATGTCTTCTTTTCATGCTAAATATTTATACCGTCGGACCCGTTTCCCCCACGCAGGCTGACTCCCCTGGACGCCGGTCATGAGACATCTCCTGCATCGCTTCCCTCCTGCCCCTCATATAAGTAACGCCATCGACGCCTGGGTCTCCTCGACTTTCAACTCAGTGTACCTTTTCCCACTCTCAATTCCTGCTCTTCTCAACCTGCCTGACTCAATCTCTCTCTCTCTCTCTCCTCTCACAAACCCTACCAATCTTCATCATGACTGCCTCCAACGGTACCAACGGCCACTCGGCCCCCAGGCCGCTGCCTGTCGGCATTTACGCCCCGACCATGACCTTCTTCAACCCCGAGACCGAAGACCTCGATATCCCCGTCATCAAGAAGCACGCCGAGCGTCTGGCGCGCGCTGGCCTTGCCGGCCTCGTCACCATGGGCTCCAACGGCGAGGCTGCCCACTGCACCCGCGAGGAGAAGATTGCCGTCACCAAGGCCACCCGCGAGGCTCTCGACGCTGCCGGCTTCGAGCAGACCCCCATCATCCTCGGTGCCACCGAAGGCAGTGTTCGCGGCACCATTGAGCTTCTGAAGCTGGCCCCTGCCGCCGGCGCCGACTACGCCCTCATCCTGCCCCCTTCGTACTTCCGCGCCCAGATGGACGAGGCTGCCGTTCACGACTACTTCATCGCCGTCGCCGACGAGAGCCCCATCCCTCTCATTCTCTACAACTACCCTGGCGCCGTCTCCGGCATCGACATGGACAGCGACCTTCTCATCAAGCTCGCCGAGCACAAGAACATCATCGGCACCAAGTTCACCTGCGGCAACAACGGCAAGCTGACCCGTGTCGCCCTGGCCACCGACGCCAAGACCCCCTGGAACGAGGGCTCCGGCTACATGGCCTTTGGTGGCATGTGCGACTTCACCGTCCAGACCCTCGTCAGCGGTGGCAGCGGCATCATCGCCGGTGGCGCCAACGTCGCGCCCAAGGTCTGCGTCAAGGTCTGGGACCTCTACGCTGCGGGCAAGAAGGAGGAGGCCATCGAGCTCCAGAAGAAGCTCAGCAAGGGTGACTGGTACCTGACCAAGGCTGCCGTCCCCGGCACCAAGGGTGCCATCAACAGCTACTTCGGCTATGGTGGCTACGGCCGTCGCCCCCTGAAGCGCCTTGAGAAGGAGAGGACTCAGTACATCGCGGACGGCATCAAGGAGCTCATGGACATTGAGAACTCTCTGTAAATTTCTCTCTCTCGCTCCCTTTCCGGGAGACTCAACTTCGCGTCGCGGGTGACAGCATCCCTCGTCTCGTTGGAGACAGTTGTGTGCGCGCGCGCCATGAAGCACCGAGCCCAGCAATGGAAGGGGTGTGTGGGCTCGGCCCCGTGGTGACCGAAACAGCGAGGTGCGCGCTACGTCAAAAGTCGCGAGCCTGCCCCTCCTCAGCCCCCCACTTGTGGGGCACCGCCGCAAAAGGTCCCCAAGCCACGAGCCCCCCCCTTTCACCCACCAAAGTGGGGGTCTATTGACAACCCCGCGGACGAGGGGCCAAGTCTCGGGATAGAGGCCGACCGCGCAGTCGCTGTCCCGGGGGAATTGCGGACGCATGGCGTCGACTATTCTTTTTTCTTTTTGTGTGTGTTCTCATGGTTCGTCCCATATTTCCTACATTGGAGTTGTGCATGGAGAAATAGCATCTTGGTTGGATTTGGAAATGAGCGCACATGTGTGTCAAAATGGGCCGGGTTTCGTATGGGATGGATTGCAAGGTGCCACGAGGCCGAAGGTGGAGACGAGTGTCAGTGCCATACATGGGCGCATCAATAGAGATACCGTTATGACTTGTGATTCTTGTTCCCCAGTGCTGTTCAGCATTGTAACGTCAAACTTTTGTTCATGTTCGCTGTTGTAGGCCTGGAGATCCGTCGGGGCTGTAACACAAGTGGAGCCTGGGCTGGACCGACGGCTATTAGACTTCCTGTCCCATGGAGGCTAGCAACTGTTCATCCACATAATATTTGGGTTCCCCAGCTTGATTATCAGTGTCATAAGGTATTCTCGTTTTCATTCTCATGTTCGTTAAAGTGTGTCGTGCGCCACCTATGCTCTATGCGCTGATCCATGTTCACACGCGACTGTACCGCCTGGGGTCCATCTCGCTGATATCAGAGCTGCTCGTCTTCCCGTCCATCACATACTCGGCCATGAGCTTCCCCGTCGCCGGCCCGTTCTGGATCCCCCAGCACGTGTGCCCAGCCGCTACCCACAGCCCCGGCGTCGACGTGGCGCCGATCAGCGGCCCGCCCTCGCGCTGCGGCAGGTAGCACGCCTGCTTGGCCTTGACGCGGGCGGCTGCGAGCTGCGGGCTGAAGGTGGCAATGTAGGCGAGCAGGTCGTCGCAGTTGGCCTCGTCGACGCGGACGAGGTCCGCCGTGTCGGGCAGCGGGTCGGTGCGGTCGGGCTCGCCGCAGGCGTAGACCTCGCCAAAGGGGCGGGCGTAGATCTCCGGGTCGACGACGCGCTTGTGCTTGCGCCGCTGGCCCTTGACGACGCGGTGGGCGGGGACGTAGTCCTCGGGCAGCAGGACGCGGGTGAAGACGGCGTAGGGGGAGACGGTCGCATCGTAGACGACGCTGTGGGCGCGCAGGCCCTCGACGTTGGGCCGGCGGTGACGATGACGTCTGTAATGTCGGACAGGGTGTGCGTCTCGGACGTGTCGCGGTCGAGGTACTCCACCGACTCGACGCCGGTCGGCGACGAGTTGATCTTGGTGAGCTTTGCGCGCGTGCGAATGTCGACGCCTTTCTCGGCTGCGAGGGCCGCCATGGACGTTGTGAAGTGGAAGGGGTGGACCTGTGCCGTTTCCGTCGCGCCGGGGTGGCCCATTTCCTGGTACGAGTCGATGATTTCGTGATCGACCCAATCGAGATCCTTCGGGACCACCGAGTCTTTCAACAGAGCTTCCGCCGCGTCGTCCTGTTTCGGGAGCCGCTCCCAACCTTTCTGTTCTTCCCCGTCATTCGCACCAGGTACGGCAGCGGCCCGGGCCGCGGAAGCTTGCTCTACGGCGTCGAGCTTGGCACGGGTGACTGTTGCGTCGAAGCTGCCGCATCCGACCCTGCGGTACCCCCAGCGTTCGGCACCGCCATGCTCGGCTGCAAGCTCGGCATGAAGACGGTAGGAAAGCGGCACCAGAGGCTGCGGGTAGGCCCAGAGCGCGAGGAGACCACCAGCTTTACCCGAGGCACCGGCCGCGATGGAGGTGGCTTCGAGGAGGGTAATCTTGTGCAGGGCGGGGTTAAATTTGGGATGTCGGGAGAGGAAGTAAGCTGTCGTTGAGCCAATGATGCCGCCGCCTGGTCGATGTCGTCAGCGCTCGAGCCGCGGTGGTGCCTAGGCGCAGAGTTCACAGTGCTCACATACCGACAATGACAATGTTCTTTTTTGATTGGGGGTCCATTGTGCGTAGCTGGGGGTAGATGGATTGTGTGGCTCGGGGATGCAAGGCTCGCAGAGCCTGGGTAGCCTTCTTCCTCTTTTTGACACCGTTACCCATGGCGGGCGGGCGGCTACAACGAACGAGAGGCGATGACGGAGGGGCATCCAAGTGCCAGAGCTCGAATGGCGGGGTCAAGCTCTTATCGATAAGGAACCCGTTCTTCGATGGGCTCGACGCGCAATTCTCAGAGAAACGATTCCAGGTCGAGGCGACCGATGCGGAGTGTCCATAATCGCCGAAGGGACGAGGCCAAAGGCCGATGGTGCATCCGCCTTGACGTTCGGCGCGATCGTGATTGGTTCAGCAGCTTGACGGCCTGCTTATTAATGACTCGTACACCTCGGCTCACAGGCGGGAAGCGGAAGAACATGTGCCCCGGTCGCCCCATTCTGGCCCAAACGCGCTGTCGGGTGGTCGGCAGACCCGGATCCAGGACCCTTGCCCCCCTCCCTTCTCCCCCCTCCAGCAGTCGCATGTTCCACAACAGCTCATGCTGTGGTCCCACTGGAAAGAACAGCTTCAAGCATCTTCGATGACGGAAACTAGGCCAAAACGACACCCTGCCCGGCCATGACATGTCCTAGGTTCGCGTCGCAGCATTTTCGCCAGCTCGCATATAGACCCCGCCTTGATCACAAATCTGTTGGCACCCTCGCTCGTTTGAAAACTTGCTCCTTACAACAACAACACCAACCGTACCACATACAACAGCGTCGCCCGACAAATATACCTGTGACCTGGAGATATACCCCGCCTTCCGACTCAATACGAACACGAACAACCATGGCGTCCGCTACCAGCTTCTACGACTTCAAGCCGCTCGACAGTATGTGTCTGATCCCCATGCGCGCTCCAATTAAACTGTCCACTAACACATGGATCAGAGCGTGGCCAGGAGGCCCCCACCGCCGATTACAAGGGCAAGGTCGTCCTCATTGTCAACACGGCCTCCAAGTGCGGTTTCACACCGCAATTCGAGGGCCTCGAGAAGCTCTACAAGTCCGTCAAGGAGAAGCACGGCGATGACTTTGTCATCCTCGGCTTCCCCTGCAACCAGTTCGCCAGCCAGGACCCCGGTACCGACGACGACATCCAGAGCTTCTGCCAGCTCAACTACGGTGTCACCTTCCCCATCATGGCCAAGTCCGACGTCAACGGCGACGCGGCCAACCCCCTCTTCACCTGGCTCAAGGACGAGAAGCCCGGTATCATGGGCCTCAAGCGCATCAAGTGGAACTTTGAGAAGTTCCTCGTCGGTCGCGATGGCAAGGTCAAGGGACGCTGGGCCAGCACCACCAAGCCCGAGGCTCTTGAGAAACCCGTGCTCGACGAGCTCGCCAAGCCCGCGCCCGCCGATGCTGCTCCTGCTGCCAAGCCTGAGTAAGCTCTCGCCTTGAACGACGGCCATGATACGTGTGCTGGGTCACAAAAGCGACCTTCCTCTTCGTACACGAAACTGTTCTTCAGCCAGCCGTCTTTAGATGTCTATATCCCGAGTCCATATATCCCTGTTGCGATGAATTGACGATTTCCTTCACCACCTTGGGCCACCATGATGCATGCTGCCGTTTGCTGTTTGTAGTTGCGTGGCGCATTTTTGGAATGCGCCATGTCCCGGTCTGTGCTCGTTGCCGGACCTGCTCTCACACCTCAGTAATGGGTTGCCACTACACTGCATTTGTGAAGTATTCGAGCTTAGACGCCTAGGATGAACTCTAGTCGTTCTCTCTACGAGCCACATGCAATGTCTTTGTCTGGAATGACTCCCCACGCGATGAGACTGGTCGACACCCGGCATCCTATTCATAGCATTGCGGCACCGGAATCCTATCTACATGCGAAGCAGCATGTGGCTCTTTGCCACTGCATGCGCTCACAGATGACGAATTCCATGTTTGGATCGATTGGCGAGCTCTGCACGCGCAAGCGCAGATGCCGATAGCGACAGCAAGCGGAAGCCGAAGAAACGAGCTATTGGCGCAAGTGCCCCATTGTCCGCGAGATCGCCTTCCACGACCTTAGTCGAGATCTATTGTCTGTCAATTGACGACGAAAATAGACCATAGGGCTCGTGGCGTCCAAACTGACCAGGCCTGCCAAGTTATCATAGGACATAAGGTTGCGATTAAGGTCAAGATCGACGTGGCGATCTTTGGTGACGATCTGAAGCTGCATTCCCGTCCGATTACAAAAGTCCCTTGCAGGTCGCCAGCCCATTTCCTACCCTGTCCGGAATCCTTTCAGCTTCCCGACTGAGAAGGACAGTGCCTTGAATTAGACCTGAAGCAAAAAGGCTTGCCCACGGCAGCAAACAGGTCTTCCCAGCCTGGGGGCAAGCAACCTCAAGTCTGCAGGTCGAGGCGGAGTGCCTCTGCACATCGTCGCAGGACTTTTCGCCTGTGCCGCAATGACGGTAACTTGTCGCCACGATGCTACTTGTGCCGCTGAGGATTCCCATGGGCCCTAGATTCAGGCACACTGCGAGACCAGATCGAGTATGGTAGCCGTGTCGGCTGCCATTCATTTCCAACAGCGGCAAGGCTGCGCCTCGCAACAGTTCACTGATGGATGTAGCTGGTCTACACGATACTCACTTTCAAGAAATCTATAAAATGACGAGAGCCTGTCAAGGTCGACAGGAGATAGCTCATCATCATCTCAAACATACTCTCAGGCTTGTAACACCACAATTTCCTTGTCAGCCTTTTACCACATTGTTTATGCTTCACTCCACCTCGCCTATATTTCTTCATCATTCGCCTCCATCAAAATGCACTCCTCCGCCATGATTGTGGGACTTGTCGTCTCAGCGACGGCATCTCCGCTGTACGACACTAGCCGTTTCAGCAGACGCCAAGACGAACCCTTCAACGATAAAGCAAAGCTCTGCGGCCTCCGTGATCTCTCAAATCCAGATGGAGCCAGAGCTGCGTGGGAGGAAACCGGGGCCGCCTCTTTCCTCGACAACTTTATCACCAACGACAGAAGTATGTTGCAGTTGGCCGACCCCCCGCAAGTATCAAATGCTAATCTCGAAATCTATCATGCAGAGGGTGATCCGACAGAGTGGGTCAAGATCCTTGAGAGGCTCATCACTGGTGATCCCGGCACGAACGCGGACGGTTGCTCCAGCGTCAAGAACGAGTGCAATCCCGGCATCGAGAAGGGCGATTGCGCAACGTACTTTGATACCCTGACGGAGTATCCTAACCAACGCCTCGGATACTGGGTTTTCATGGCCGTGAATGGACTGCACCAAAAACTCACAGCCCTCTACAACGAGCTCTTTGAAAAGACGATGCTCAACACCCTGGCCATTCCAACCATGGTCGAGAAGCTCGGTGGTGACCAGGGCTCTGGTGGAGATGTGCTGAAGTGGTTGACTGCCGCGGCGGGAGCGGGTGGTGCCGTTGCTGGCATGAGCCCCAATGTACGTGCCGCGGATCAATGATGAACAGTCGAGATCCTATGCTAACGCCGTGTGTAGGGAGCCATCGTTGGAGTGGTCTCAGTTTCCTGTCTGCCATGTTCGGCGCTGCAGCTGAGGAGGAAAAGGACCTTGTTGACGACATCGGAGCCGCCATGGGAGCTGCTTTTGAGAAGACGAGTGCACGAATTTCCAGGGCGCTGGGAGCCGCCGTGGGCAGGGCGACTGATCCGGGAGATTACAATGCTCTTCCGGCGGGCCCCGGGTCGGAACCCTTCCAGAGCAGCATCGCCAAGTTCTTCAGTGGCGGCTGGTGGCTGCTAGAGAACGACTCTGCCGATGTCACTGGTGCTCTTCAGGCTACCGTCGACGCAGTCAAGATGAAGGTTGTGGACCAGATCCTGCAGTCGAGCGGCTACTACCTTCTGGTGGACCGCCACGACAACACCCTCGAGCTCTGTGGCACGCCGCTGGGCCGTCAGTGGATGCCCGTCAGGATCGGCGAGGCTGACCACTGCATGTACGTTGCCAAGGTCGGAGAGGGCCTGGGCAGTTTCTATGAAGCACCGGCCGAGGTCTACGAAGCCATGGCTGAGTACGGACTGGGAAACCGCATGGCATACTACCGAATCCTGCTCGATTGTGCCCTGAACAGCGCTGGAGATTCGTCTGTGCGGACCGACGCCCTGGTTCCCGGACAGATCCCGCTCTGTTACTTCAACATGAAGGCCGTCTATCTCGACGGGGAGGGCTGCGATACGGATAGCGAAGGCTTCTACACCTGCCAGAGCCTCACCACTGAGGATGTTAAATGATCGATCCCAAAGAAATTCAGCTTATAAGCGCGAGTAAAGTAGCATTTTGAATCAATCTATTCATCACGTGTTTCTTCGTGTTGACACCAACCCATGCCCAACTGCACGGGAGACGTGATTGAAAGCGACTCCTGGGCCAAAAGCCATCATGGATATCGCACCTCATGTTAGCGAGATGGAAAATGGTGTTCGACGGGGCGATCATTTCTCAGCTCTCCACCTTAGTGGCACAGTGTCCTTCAAAAGCATGTTTTCACAGAACACTGACTTGATCCAGGACCAAGGCCTCCCCTGTGTGTTAGGCTTGGAATTTCCAGCCCTGAAATGCCAAGAGGTACATGTGTTGGCATGGTCAAGGACGATCGAGATAGCGGATGCCTCACACTGCTAAGTTCTAGGAATATCACCATTTAAATGGAAAGGAGTATCGCCTCGCGTCTCTGCTTGAGATGTTTACTAGGCGTTCAATAATGCCGGAATACGCCTACATGTCTCTATCACTGGGAGAATCCGTTGATATCAATTCGTCAACTCGGCAGGGTAGACTGGTGGTGGGCTATGAAGACACAAAAGAAGGTTCACACGTTTGGGAACACGTCTCGTAGGCGCCTTGGGAACCACCTATCATGGTCGGGCATTTAAAATGGCTTGAGGAAGCAATGCATTTCTTTGTTCCCGTGGCTGGAATTAGCTTAGGCTTTCTGCAACACTGCGGCTTACAATCCTCTGGCAGCTGAGCAGTCATGATAAGACACGCTTAACGTCCAAACTTTAATTTATCAGCAGTCATCGCTCTGGTCACAATGGTTTCCGGCTTGCTGGAGTTCGTTAGCCTGATCGAGGCCGGCGCCAAAGTCCGGGGTAAGACAAGGCTAACCGGGACAACACCGTTTTCGTCCCTTGTCCATGAACAACTTCGCCTCTCTCAGCCCCAAGAGCTATTAAAGTTATCAGACGGACCCTTCAGCTGGCCTGTGGATGTCATTTTCGTATCAACACCACCTTTTCTATAGCACATGTGCCTCTTGACCCCTTTCGTTTGCAGCTCGTGCGCGCTAATTAACCGGCTGTGTGGTTCTTGCAAGCCTAGAAGGCTGAGACGTATTTGTGGATGGTGGCACATTGCGTTTTCCATGCTATTGTGATTCTGTTCAGATAAGAAAGATGCCCCAGGGGCCATTGTAGACCACCAAACAACCTCGACCGGTAGCCATAAGTACTACCTAGTGCATCTGTCTTATCGCAGAGCCTGAATCCTTCAAAAAGGTCACAACCCTTCGATTTGACACTGGATATCCTACTTTACGGCAATGAAACATCTCCTCACGTCAAGCATTTGGCTTGTATTGCTGTTAGCCAGCCATGCTGCAGATTCCCAGTCGACTGAAGCAGTACCGAGCGCAGTCCAACCTATAGACAACGGCCCTGGTCCTGTTGACCCGCCAGAACCATCGGCAGTCCCCGTAGACCCCCCCGGTAGGCCTCCCAGTGATACTCCCTTGGAAGCTATACCACCATCCGAGAGCTCCGTACCGGCACCCGTTGTTCCAACAACGAGCGCCACCGCAGGCGTGATCGCTGATACCACTGCTCCGACAGTATTCAACCCGACACCTACTTCACCTCCGACCAACCCAGAGCCCACGGAGCCGTCTCTGCCCGTCGAAAAACCTCCAAGTTCGACGGTAGCAGAAGGAATTCTGCCTCCTCAGTCGCCTACGCAGGCTGCCGTAGGACAGAGCTCTGCGCCCGTGGATGGTCCGACTAGTGCCCAGGGCACAGTAACCACACCAGAGGCGAGTGCGCAGAATGATGCCTCGGAAAGTCAGCCTCCGGCAGGCTCTCCAGCCCCAGCACCGACAAAGGGTACTCCAGATTCAGCTACTCCACCGGAAGTCACAAGCAGGAGTATAGCCCCGGGGCCCAATACAAGCCCAGAGGCTACGACTACCAGGCCCGACGTGCCTGGTGGCGGCGAAGCGTCTCCAACCCCTACGAACCCAAGGAATTCTGGTATAACTCCTTCAAGTCCCCCACGTGAAGGCCTGGGCAGTCCTGATCAATCATCAGTGAACGATGAGACTGGGAATCCAGCCACAACTGAAGAAGCATCTCCAAGTAACGGGGCTGCTGGAAATACGGATGGAAGCCCGGACACCACCAGTGAAATGCCAGCGCAGACAGATGCCCGAGGCTCAAGTCCCAACGGTGAGATCTCTGCCACCTCTCGCGCCACCAATGAAGAGGCAACACTTCGGGATCAGCCTTCTGCAAGCACCCGAAGTGGAGGTGACAATTTCCCACAAACAACATCCACCGCTACTAGAATCTCGACTGATACGACTCGCGCAGGAGACTCTTCCCGTGGCAGCTCAAGACCAACGAAAAGCTCTTCCTCGCTCGCGCCTCTTTCTACTGCCAAGCCTAGCGATGGAACAGGATTCCTCGGTATTGACTTGTCAGACGGAACGGAATCTTCTGAAGAAACCCCACCTGATACTACTACGCCCGAACAATATGATGCCGAGGCTGAGGCAAACCTCCCCTTTACGGTCATCTCTGATGCTGACGCACAAGACGTCGCTATTCTGGAAGCCGCAATGTTCGAGTATTTTGTCGAAAACGATGCTCAAATTGGGGATGATGTGCAGGTCACAATTCCGGCCGTGGCATCAAATTGCGATGTCGGGCTGACTAGGCGGGATATGGGAGAGGAGAGGTGGCCGGGTAGGTTCAAGTCGCCCGTTGCCAAGAGACAGGCAAATTGCAAGGTCGTCACGAGCCTGGAATTCGATTTGTACTTTCACTACATGCTGCCGAGTCAGACTGCTGAGCGTCCTAATCAGCTATCGGAGAGGATCACGGCTAGTGTGAGTGAGACCACATTTCTTTGCTGCATCCTACCGCTGACGATCACAAGGTCGAATACGTTCAGTCGGTATTTGGGCTTCGGAATATAAGCTTTACATATGTGGGTGTAAACTTCTACACTCCTGACAAAGATGACGCAAACTGGACTACGGTCAGATATAAAGAAGACAGGCTGGAGACTTGGATGGGGGAAACCCGGAAAGGTGACAAAATGTCACTTAACGTGTGGCTAGTGACCGACTTGAAGAAAGGAGAGGGTGATGACGAGAGAGACATCAACGAGGTACGTGCTGTTTCGCCTCAATCATCGCCCGCGTAGACTTTCGCAAAGTCTAACTATTGCAAAACAGTATTCCACGTTTCCTGAAGACAACAGTGGCCTCATAGACGGCATCGTTATGAGACAGGCTCACATCAGCGACGTTTCGCCAACTTTGGTCCACAACATTGGGCATTGGTTGGGCTTACGACATACGTTCAGCAAACAAATTGAAGACGGTGAGCAAGACTGTGTCGCTGATACTGGTCTGCTTTCTTCAACCCAAACCAGCGGCTTGAAGGATACTATGTACAGCTGCTCGCAGAAACCGTGTTTCGAGACCAACGCTCGAAACATTACAAATTTTATGAGTGTAGGTCCCTTTGAGCTGTATATCTATGGAGCATGGCGGCTTTTTCTGACTTAACGCCCAGTTCTCGAGTTGCAGAGGCGATACCACTTTTGGAGGATTCAGTATCGACCAAAAGGCAGCCATCTGGGCACGTGTGATTCAGTTTCGGCGCACGAATGCTGAAGATGAGTGTCAACCATCAAGTTCTACCACCACTAAGTCTGCTATCCAGAAAAGATCCTCCATGCAGGATCTGGTCGATGGAAAGTGTCCAGATCTTACTGCTGAGGCCGAACGAATCAGGAATCAGCCGGTCAACGGAGCTACTGGCTCTCTGGCTTTGGGTCCTTGGGGATGGTGTCTGCCATGGCTTGTGAGCGTCATGATGTTGGCTCCGTAGGGCCCTGGTAGCTGTAAACTAGACGTCAGGACGTCAATGGTATCAAGAAGTTCATGTACAAATTTTATACCAACATCGCCACTCTCGCCCAGCATGATGTTAGCCCAACACGGAATTCTCTCAGCATTTTTGCTCAGACCCATCGTGACGCTGAAAATTCACTACTGAGTTCGAGACTGGGCTGTCGTAGCAAATGTGTGGCACCTACCTCGATGCTAGCTTGTCTTCAACCCCGCGCTTTTCGCTCATTGACGTGCCAGATGGTGGGTGTCTGTGTTCGATTTGGACCTGGTCTCTTGACGGAGTGAGGTTGATCATGTGTCAAACAAGTCGTGAACCGCTTTTGTGTTGGCCCAGGCGGCATTCGAAATAACGACGGGCCTCAGCCGCCAAACTCTAAAACCGGTGGTGGCTCTGCCTCGAACATCGAGCACAGTCTATCTAGTTCATGGGATTCAGCCCTCCAGATTCAAGCCACTAGCGTGACATAAAGTTCCGACTTCATCGCTCGATTGGTCCTCAGCCTCTTGCTCATGCGTAACATCGCCGTTCTTGGCAGCAAGAACGAACTAAGGGGCCACAAGTCCCAGGGAACGCTCAGTCCAGTTTGAGAGAAGCCAAACTCTTCTGGGTTAATATCACTTGGTGATTCAGCCTCACCACATATGTAGGGACTGGCATTCGTGGACCTATTCTATGGCATCCGCTTTCTGATTAGTCGTGTCTTGAGCACGGAGTCGAGACCGAGGCCTCGCGGAGTAGTGAGCTTGTGCCTTATCACTGTTGATGTCCTCTCAATCTGGAATAAGCATACCACCACTCTCCCAATTGTTCCGATCGCGTGAAAGGACTGTTCACTACGACACAAATCAATCAATATGATGCGGCTTTTCACGAAGCTTATCGCATGCCTGGTTGTACGGACCGCAGGCGCATACGTCAATCCCAGCACGGTAACTATCACAAATGACTTGAGAAGGCACCAAGAAGCGCCGGTACCAACACCTCCTATACATGGACTGGACAGGCGCCAAACAGATGGTGCTGGCCGGACGTATACTCGAACCATTGCCCCAGACTCTGTTTGTGGCTATCTTTCGGCTTCACCTGGTAACGACATTGTCTGCGAAAATGGCGAGCGCTGCAACTGGGTCAAAGCAAATGGGCTCAATGCCGTCTTCTGCGGCATCAGCAGGAATGTAACTGCGAAAATCAAATGCTACGGGCGCGACGCGATGGCAGCCGACCCCGGGCTATGTAATGACGTTTGCCAAAGTAATAAGTTTAACCTGCAATGGTCAGTTCATCCCAAAAAGCTTGTGACTATATCATTCGTGCCAGGCACTGACATCACCTCCACAAAGCACCGATGAAGCTGCACCATACTGTCGTACATACGCTTATCCAGAAGGCATACGCGACTACAGATGTGCCTCAACGCCCGTAACCGTGGCACAAAGTGCCGACTTTACCTATGAAGGACAGGTGGGCCGGTCTTTTGAGACAACAGTCGTCTCCAATATTGCAAGGACGACCGAGGAATCCCAGAGCGATTCGACTGCCGCTCCAGCCTCCTCAAGGGCAGGAACAACACCAATCTCCACTTCGGATTCCTTAAATTCGTCAGACGAGTCGAAAGGAAGCAGTGTGCCCGTTGGTGCGATAGTTGGTGGTGTAGTCGGAGGCGTTGCCTTGATCGCTCTCATAGCCGTCGCCATTTTCTTCTTTCGTAAAAGATCCACGCGGAAACGCAACTCACCGCCAGAGAATATCGACGGCGGCTATCCTTCGGTTCAACAAGTCTACCCCGAGCCTGACCAACAGGGGTACCCACTACCATCACCACGTAGCGAACTGTACGGCTCAAAAAGCGGCATGATTTCGCCCGTCCAGTCCACAGACTACGGACGACCCAATTCTTCGGCTTATGACGGTCAGACAGTCAGTGATATGCACAGGCCGTACTCGCCGGAAGCCCAGTCTTCATTTCAACAACCAGTGGCATACGAGATGGACCAAGGGAACAGCCTCAATAGGGGGCAGGTGCATGAGATGGGCTGACAGCTTACCTAGCTAGGCAGATATAGAGAGGGCACATGGCGGTACTCTTCAATTCACACATGCGTTGAACCACCTTGCGCGGCGCCACTGGAACACCTCACGGCTTGGTAATGAAAGTGGATGTAAAATATTGAGAATTGGACTGTCTCGGTGATTTGTGGTGCAGGGTGGCAGTGGGAAGTTCTTTAATTGGTGTTTTATACTTGTTCCAAAACCGGGTTTCGTCACGATCTGTTTCCAGATCTAATTCAAAGAAGAATCCGTATCGGGGAGGCCAATTCATCTACGTGACCCCTTATTCTCTCATGCTAGCATGTCAGGACCCTGCGGAGCCACCCAGGGCCTGCCAAGCCAGGGGGCTAGCTAGGGGCTAAGGCTCACAAGAGAACGTATATATAGGCTACGGAGGGCCCCCCTAAAGCTCCGGAGGGCTAGAATTCAGATATATTCCTATCCTATACCTATATTATAAACTACCTGCGGACCCTATGGTAGACCCCTTCACTCTATTCTAAATAACGCTCTAACAACTACCCACGATCCCGGCAGCGCTTTATACGACCGGACTAAGGCAGTCGAAAGGCCGCCACGGTAGCCCGAGGGCGCTGTAATTCACTATGGGCTAACTACCTCCGGCGACGGCATTTTAAAGAGCGCTACTAAGAGGGTCGAAGCCGTTAGCCGCTTAGGTAACGTGCTCTACTTCGAGATAGAGGCGGTAGGACTCATATCCGAGCTTTCCTGCATAACCTCCGTAGTATGTCAGACTACGTCGATTTTCACAAGAATGACGAGTGGCACGATTTCGCCGCCGGGTCAGCTACTATATATAATAAGACATTACTATCCTATTTCGGTCCCCAAATCGATTCCGACGTACCTACCGACCCCGTAACTATAGCACCAGAACCAGAGAGCGGCCAGCTCATTATCCAATCATTACCCCCAGTATTCGACCACCCTCTAGCCAACGGTAAATTCATGATGCTCTTTGAAGCCGTCCTGTTGCAAAATAAGCAGCCCCTGCAAGTCCGGATCACTGAGCAACTTGTAATCCCCCTTATGGCCCGTTTGTCGACCACCACATTAAGTGGCTTGCGAATCTTAACCCGGGGACGGTCGAAGCGTCGATTTCAACTGCTGAAAACTGCGAAGAAGTGATGTAAGTAGGTCAGATCTGTGAATCGCAACCACGAGATTATGAAGCTTGCCAACCGGGCCTTTTCTGCGCCAGAGCTCGTGTTCAGCCGTAGCCAACGCGTGTCCTGAATCCAACTCTTCTTCGAAAGCTTCACTGTCCGTTCCGAACAGAATGACTTTGACGACAAGATTAATCACATGGCCGAAGCAACGTCCCCGCCGTTCAGATCCTTTAAAGCCGAGTTTCTTGCCGATCGTTTCCATCGCAGTATCGCAGTTCCCAGCGTTGTCAAGCGTGAAGAACCCGATCTTGTGGCCGATCTCATAAGATTCGATGATTTCGAGGATCCGTCCCCGATATTGGTACCAAAGTGACGAACTGTCAATTCCGGGATTCCGAGGGTCAGTTTCTGAGCTTTCCCGTGTTCACCTCGAAAGAAGCAGGCAACGCCATACAAAGCGTGCCTGTTTCTTGATCTCCAGCCATCGAACGATATGTGAAGCAATCCCGGCGCGGCCTTCAGAATCCCCATCACGGTCTCCTTTTGTTTCTCGAACTGAGCTATCGCACGCTTCCGAATTGTATCGTGGCAGAGATGGGCGTCCGTTGACGCAACGAGCGGGTTCAGATATCGAACACGGCTCGTAATCGCTTGCTCTAGGGCTCGCGGAAAGATATATTGCTTTCGACGAGCGATTCGACAAGCATTCGTTGGAAGACAGTCCGATCGAACTTCTTGATGAAGCTGTTCGCAATGGCCTGATCTCGAGGCTTCGTGGGGTCGAGGTTCCAAGCCTGAGTTATCGTACGATAGGACTTCAGCGGTTTCTTTCGAGAAGACGGCGCAGTCCGCTTGCCGGAAGGGTCCTGAATCTGGTGGTGGTCCCAGAGATGGCGCTCAGCGTTCTGCGTACCAATAGCCAGCACATTACCTGGCTTGGGTATACCTTCTTTCGAACGCAGGCTTTGCAAACCCATCTTCGCTCGGTTTCCTTCTCGATATCGAATCCGAACTGCCACACCCAGAAAAGCGTATCCCGGCTTCGTTGGGACCATGCCCACCCCCGGAAGTGTCGAAATAGTTGGTCTTCGTCGTCTCGATCAGCCGGTTGCTTTGTTGGAGTTTCCGGGGCCGGCGAAGATTCAGGGGACGAGCGTACAACAGTTAGCGTATCGGACTCCGAAGCGCGTGACATATTAGAGGTCACGAAAGCGAAGGTTCCAAAGGGCAGCGTAGGTAGCAGGAAGGAAAGTCAGATCTCCGGAGCAGGGGCAGGAAGAGCAGAAATGCGGAAAGAGCCCGCCATGGCCCAATCGTCGCGTTCCCTTGACGCGTTAAGGTGAGTTTCAGAGTACCTCTAGCTACACTTTACATTGGTGCTTTGATTGTTAATCAGTCAGGGCGCCGTTGAGTTGAGGTTGAGTGGATTGACATCAACGAGGTGGTCCACCTCGAAATTTGGGTTGAGTTGATCGCCACCCAGCCTGGGGACTGGGATCCTCCAGAGGGGTTTCAACATCCGTGATACCGTATCTGGCCGCCTCACGCGATATACTGCTGACTTGCGGCTGCTTCTGCCTGCCCAGCGGCGTCGTGGCGTTACCCCCGCTGTCCCTGACGGTCATAATCGATGACCCTGTGAAAGATGAGGACACGGATGTGAACAAGGTGACGAGTTCGCGGACAAGTGGGACCTTGACGAAGCCAAGACAGTCAGTGAAGGAATTAGTTCCTGAAGAGGGCAAGGGATAGGAATATCTACCAAAGTTGGCACACATGCAGCAATGGCGCCGGCGCTGATTTCGATTACGTTCCACGCACAGCCGCTTGCAAGTGTATCTGAGTAGGGCAACAGTCAGCAACTCATTTCGAGTTACAGAATACCATAGAGCACCCACAAGAGATGTCATCAGAACTGTACAGAAGGAATACCCTGAGACGGTAGATGCTTGTAAACACCACGTAACTACCCAATAAGAAGACAAACATGAGCATTATCTTCTGTCCTACCGTGGTGTTTAACGGTAGGACGTGCGGAAAGGGCAAGGCCAGGATAGCAATGTCCAACAGGATGCTTGGGACGGCAATGCATAGATGCGCTAGGAACAGGTTTATGCACCTCCCTTCCAGCCATGGTTCCCATAGCTTCTCGCGGGGTGAACACTGAAAGGCCGCGGTGAAGGCGCAAGTCAGGTTCCATGCTGTCGAGAGACCGCCGCAGATGTATCCCCCTAGGTGTACGCTGTGGATTGGGAAGATACGGATGTATAGGAACAGCAGGGAGAGCTTGTACACGTTGACGGCCGTAACATACAGGATCTCCGCTGCTACCATCGTCTATGGGGTTCTGTATTGGTGAGCCTGGTCGAGGGAGAGGCAGTGAGTACTGCACCTTGTCCAGAGTCTGCCGCTCCTCGAGTGTCAAGACGCCGGCATGTAACCCTAGACCCTGACCAACCACTGGAGACAAAAAGGTCAGTCACCAGCATCATACGCCGAATTTACTGAGCCCTTTCCTGAGTCGATACATACTGACGAGGTTTATGGCGAGATTCCCCCCAAGCAGAACGAAAGCCATTAATGCCAGCCAGTCATCGGCACCAAGGCGAGCTCGTTGTCGATATCTCGCCAGGAACCGCAGAGCGACAAACACTGCTGCCAACGCAGTGCAGGCGATACTGAAGTCTCGGACGTAAGAGCGCTTGTCCTGGGAGAGGTCTTGCGTCGCGGCGAAACGCGCGAGGCGCTCGAGGTAGACGGATTTGGTGGATGTCATATCGCTGCTGTTGGCCGTGTTCGTCATGTGGGCATAGATCGCAATGAGGCAAAATGGCACCCCCGGCCTTCTTCTGTTCAATAACTTACGCCTTTGGTTTGAGGAAAAGAACGGCCTCCCCCGAGCCATGAAGCGTATTGCGATCGGCTACCAGGTAAGACACTGCCGTCGAGCCATCATATATCATTTCTTCGTTGTCCGAATCACATGCGCTGAAATTCTGTGGCGTCAGCTGGCCAGAGGAGGCGGCCCCTATCCCGGGATGGCTTTCCGTGGATGGGCCTTCGGAGCCACCGAAGGGTCAAGGGCGGATTGGAGGAAAACTCCAGTTGATGAGCCTGCTCTTGCGCTTCTTCCCAACCGACAAAACCTCGGACCGACAAAACAGCACCCACCTGAGCCCGGTAGCCCCATCAAACCTCGCACCGCTCTCGACAACACACACGCCGGGCGAGGCAAAAGGCCTTTGCTTGACTTGCCTCGCCGGACAGAGCCTGTCTCATCTTCGTCCATCA